TTGAAAATTCTCTCTAATTCATCCATCATGCATCTTCTCTTCTTTGAACTATATCATTTACTGTCTGTATCACCCATGAAGTCTGCAGCTAAACTATACAATATTTTAGATTCATAAGCTTTGCTAGTGATTAACTCAGCCAGTCATTTCATATGTATGGTTTTGTTTGTTTTCGTTTGTTTGTAAGCAAGCCACATTAAATCCCCTTTGGCAATAAAATGTTACTACAAATGAAATGTACTGTCATGCTCTTTATTGTGGCTCTGGTATATTTTTTTATTCTTTTTAAAGAATGAGGTACCTGAATGCAGACATGTGGTTTTATAATTTTTTGGTATCCTGTCTCTGACCACCTACACATCACACCTATCTTAGCACCTCAAAACATTTTTATCTTTAAAATAGCAGTGTTATTGAAATATAACTGATTTACCATAAAATTCACCCTTTCAAAATGAACTCAGTGGTTTTAAGTCTATGCATGGATTATGCAATCATCATCATTATTTAATTTTAGAACATTTTCATCACCCCCAAAAGAAACTCTGTATCTACTAGAAGTCACTCCCCTTCTCCCTTCTCCCCAGCCCCAGGCAACTGTAACCAGCTTTCTGTCTCTAAGGATTTTCCTACTGGGGACATTTCATGTGAATGAAATCATATCACGGGTACTCTTTTGAGACTGGCCTCTTTTGCTTAGCATGTTTTCAAGGTTCACTCATGTTATAACAGGTATCAGTACTCTATTCCTTTTTATGGCTGAATAATATTCCATTGTATAGACATACCACACTTTGTTTATCCACTCTTCAGTTGATGAACATTTGGGTTGTTTCCACTTTGGATTATGAATAATACTGCTATGAATATTCCTACAAAAGTCTCTATATGGACATATATTCCTAGCACAATCAAGTCCAGAGCAGTCTCATCTTCACAAATCCTTACTGAATTGAAGTAAGCCCTCTAGAACCCCTTCTCTGCAATACTACAATGGTACCACTCTCTGTGGGATTCAGGGGGTTAATATTTCTCCCAAGTCACGCACCTTATTTTTATAAGAAGCAGTTGGCTCAGAGCTTGCTGTTTAGACAGAAACTCTAGTAGCAAAAATCAAGGTGCTTATGCTTGATTTTTGTCGTCATAGTTACTCTATATCCTTGAACAAGAGCCTTTTCAAATCTCAGCTTCATTAGCTTGTAAATGAGAGGAATATTCTAATTTAGAATAATCTAGTTTGACAAAGAATCTTACTTAGCTTTTAAATTTCAATCACAATGTTCTTGCATGAACACCAAGAGGCATTTAAAGTCTGATTTCAGGCTAAGAAGCCAAGGATTAAAAAGAGGTTGACATTCCTATAAAATGTTAGGCTGTGTCTCAGTAAGAGATGAAAGAAGAAGAAAATAAACACTCATGGCTTTTCTGCTTTTCCATTTAAGACATATTAAGGTCTGTATTTCTGTTTCCTCTGACAAAATGACCCATGTGGTTGAGCATGGAAGTCCCCACATACCAGGTTGCTTTTTATAGCTAAAAACATTCTATGAAAGAACAAATGTTAAATCACAACTCACTAAGTTCTGCTAATAAGTCATGAAAAATGCCGGATGTATTTGTCAGCCCTGAGACTAATTCTGAACTATTGATATGAAGAAAGGATTTGAGAAGATCATGTCAGCTCTCTCAACAGGCTATTTTGGAAGTGTAATGTAAACCTATGACTTTGAGAATGCCACTGACCAGTGCTGAAAGTCTAACCTTTCAAGCCGGCTTCTTGGTCATGCCGATATCCTTGCTGTCTATAACAGAGCTCACAGAAGGTGGGCCAGGAGACTGAGTGGAACCAGCAGTGTGGCTGGGGTGGGCAGGATGGAAATACAGGTGATAGGGTGGCCTTTCCACACATCGGTATTGCTTTCGAACCCCTGCACTTTCTTCTTTAAGGTTTTTACATCTCCCAGAAATGATGCCATTTCAGGCTTTTTTATCTTTCGCTCAGAAAGAAACTCATTTCTGGCTTTCTCACTTTTTTGTTCTGCTGTTTTGTATCAGCCTCTCCTTCAACTGAATCACTCTACGATATGATTCAGTGTATCCTTGAAACTGTTTTTTTTCCCTACTCTCCTTGCCTATTTGTGAAGCCACAATTTGGTGACTAAGTTCTTTATTTTTTGGTCTTCAGTTTCTATTACTACTAGTTTCAAAAAGAAAGATGAGAAAAACAGAGTAGCAAACACAATTATTGAAGCAATATATGTTTTTGAAATGAATGAGTTAAGAAACACATCTAGACTGCTTATTCTAAGAAACCATTATGATGCAAGCACTGCAGAAGATCACACCACCTGCTTCCAGAACCCATACACCAGAGGAAGCGTTTCTACCTCGTGGGCCAAGAAAGAGGAAAATACTTCTACTTCGGTTCCTTAACCTAGAAGAAGATGACACTAATTCAAAGTCCAACAATCTTTATTGAAGGCCCATGAGTCAGATGTTGTGTTGGGTACTTAAAATACAGATATGAATTGATTTCTCCCTTGCATAGTAACAAACAGAAAGCAAGTGAATAAGTACATGGTGTTACTGGGAGGAAATCGGCCTTTGTTCATGGTGGCTAAGTGCCAGTCAGTGTACTGCACAGAATGAGCCTCTGGGGAAGAGGATTATGATTTAAGTGCTGTTTTTTTAAGGTGATACGTTAAGATGTGTCAAAGACAAAAGTAGCATATTAGTGATCTCAACAAAGTCAATGACTTCATTCTCTTTATTCTCAAATTTCATTTCAGACTGGCCTTTTTGGTTCCTAAAAGTACTCAAAATTATATTCTAAAACAAAAACCTAAGAGATTTCCCTGGCAATCTGGTGGTTAACACTCTTTGCTTCCAATGCAGGGGACACGAGTTCATTTCCTGGTCAGGGAATTAAGCTCCCATACGCCACATGGCACAGCCAAAAAAAAAAAAAAAAAAAAAAATCTACATGTGTCTGAAAGATAATTCATAAAATAAATATTCATTTTCTACTTGCTTGGTGCCAAGTGCCATTCCAGTTGCGGGGGACATTGACATGTTCAAGACAGGGACATTTCTGCTTGAGGTTACTCTTTGATGGTGAGAAACATGTGACAGGAGTGAAAAAGCAAATTGAGATATTTCTAGGCACTGGTAAGTGTTATAAAGAGAAGCAAATGGGGGATGTGAGTGACACAGGGTGGGGCTGGGGTAATGGAAGTCAAGGATGGTTCTTTGAAGAGGTAGCATTTGAACTAAATCATGAATGAAAGATAGGAACTCCTTCTGCAGAGTGCATAAAAGCCCCACAGCGCAGGTGGGCTTGGCAAATTCAGTGAGCGCAAAGAATGCTAGGTGACTAGCTAGTGACTGAGGGAAACAGGACTGGAAGATAAGTGCTCAGTGATCATTAGGAGTCAGATGAGAAGTTGGATTTGACTCTAAAGGCAACGGGAAACCATTGGAAAGTTTTAAATAGAAGTGTAGCATAGCTGTTGTTGCTATTCGCTTACTAAGTTGTGTCTCACTCTTTGTGACCCTGTGAACTGCAACACAGTTGCAGGACAGGTTTCCCTGTCCTTCCTTATCTCCCAGACTTTGCTCAAACTCATGTCCATTGAGTTGGTGGAGCCATCTAATCATTTCATCCTCTGTCCCCACTTTCTCCTTTTGCTTTTATTCTTTCCCAGCATCAGGGTCTTTTCCAAAGACTCAGGTCTTCACATCAGGTGGCCAAAGTATTGGAGCTTCAGCTTCAGCACCAATCCTTCCAATGAATATTCAGGGTTGATTTCCTTTAGGGCTGACTGGTTTGATCTTCTTGCTGTTCAAGGGACTGTCGTGAGTCTTCCCCAGCAGCACAATTCCAAAGCATCAATTCTTCAGCACTCAGTGTTCTTCATGGTCTAATTCTCAGATGCATACATGACTACTGGAAAAACCATAGTTTTGACTACAGACTTTTGTCAGCAAAGTGATGTCTTTGCTTTTTAATATCCTGTCCTGGTTTGTCATAGCTTTTCTTCCAAAGAGGAAAGTGAGAGTGAAAGTATTAGTCACTCAGTTGTGTCTGACTCTTTGTGATCCCATGGACTATAGCCCTCTAGGCTTCTCTGTTCATGTAATTGTCCAGGCAAGAATATTGGAGTGGGTTGTCATTTCCTTCTCCAGGGGATCTTCCTGATCCAGGGATCGAACCTGGGACTTCTGCATCGTGTAGATTCTTTACCATCTGAACCACTAGGGAAGAGGATGTGTCTTTTAATTTCAAGGCTGCAGTCACCATCCACAGTGATTCTGATGCCCAAGAAAATAAAATCTGCCACTGTTTCCACTTTTTCCCCACCTATTTGCCATCAAGTGATGGCAACGATGCCATGATCTTCATTTTCTGAAAGTTGAGTTTTAAGCCACCTTTTTTGCTTTCCTCCTTCATCAAGAGGCTTTTTAGCTCCTCTTCACTTTCTGCCATTAGAGTGGCATCATTTGTATATCTAAGGTTGTTGATCATTCACCGGCAATATTGATTCCAGCTTGTCAGTCATTCAGCCTGGCATTTCACATGATGTTCTCTGAATATAAGTTAAATAAACAGGGTGACAATATACAGCCTTGATGTCCTCCTTTCTCAATTTTGAACCAGTCCATTGTTCCAGGTCCATGGCATTATCTGATTGTATTTCCAAAAGCTTCCTTTGAATATATCAAAGCAAGGCAAAGAAGGATGCAGGAAGACCAATCAAAGGCTATTTCTGGGGATACAGGTGAAAAAGGATGATAATGGCTTGGGCCAGCAGTGTACATGGAATACTGCCTTGGTAAAAAATTATCTGCTTTAAGGGGTATCGAGGACTAGATCAAGCCCTTGTCTCTTGCTATTTCTTCACCACGAGCCTTCTTAATCGACTTTAGTTTTCATCCATATTAGGGCATACACTCCTTAAACACAGGGCTTTGGCTTTTCTTGTCAGTCTCTCTTGTCTAGGAAGTGCTATTCTATATTCAGCGCCTTGTGGGTGCTGAATAAATATTGATTAAACAAACCAAGTGATGAATCATGTCTGCTGCAGTGTGGGTGCTTGGTAACGTGGAAACACAGAAGTGAGCTGAATTCTTCCAGCCGTAAGGCACAACGAGAAAGGACATGTGGACGGAGAGTGGGGAGCTTGGGGCTGCTTCCCCTCCTTTCATTCTGAGCCGCCACCTGGGAAGCCCAGAGAATCCTTACCCATCACTCAAGAATGGGCCTGGGAAATGACACCCTAGCCAGGTAAACGGAAGCCTAGCTGTTGCTGAGCTACACCTCTGCATGTGATGCAGGCTGTGGATGGAGCACACAGTGGCAGAGGGCATTTAAGGAAGGGTTTTACACAGAATCCGCCTGTGATCGGGAGACCCTGGTTCGATTCCTGGGTCGGCAAGATCCCCTGGATAAGGGATAGGCTACTCACTTCAGTGTTCTTGGGCTTCTCCTGTGGCTCAGCGGGTAAAGAATCTGCCTGCAGTGCCGGACACCTAGGTCCGATCCCTGGGTGGGGAAGATCCCCCGGAGAAGGGAAAGGCTGCCCACTCCAGTATTCTGGCCTGGGGAATTCCATGGACAGTCCACGGAGTCTCAGAGTCGGACACAACTGAGCGACTTTCACTTTTCTCTTGACACAGAAGGAGAGGAGAAAACCCCCCAAACAAATGAGGCGGTAATGTTCGGGGGACTCCCGAACTTCTTCTGCAAAGGGTCTGAGAGTAAATCCCGTAGGGCCGGCTCTTTCTGTTGCAACTGCTGATCATGCTGTGGTCAAGTCCTGTCCGACTCTTGCGGCCCCAAGGACTGTAGCCCACCAGGCTCCTCTGTCCATGGGATCTTACAGCAAGAATACAGGAGTGGGTGGCCAGTTCCTTCTCTGGGGAATCCCCCAGACCCAGGGATCCAATCTGCGTCTCCTGCATCGGCAGGTGGATTCTTTACCACTGAGCCCCCCGGGCGGCACCTCTGTTGTAACTCGGCAGTTGTTACAAAAAAAGGAGAAAGGAGCCACCGACAACCGGTGAATGAAAGGGGGGCGCTGGGTGCAAATAAAACCTTATGGATACCCAAATACAAAGTTCATATAATTTTCATGGATGATAAAATATTCTTTTTCTCCCCTTCAACTATTTAACGAAATTCTTTGAAGAAAATAAAATAGGGTGCTGTTTTCAAAAAACATAAAAACCATTCTTAGTTACGAGACATGCCAATTTCGGTGACAGGCCACCCATAAACCATAGTTTGTCAACCCTTACTTTGCAGAGTAGGAAAGCGGGAAAACAATTCATTTGAATATTGTTCAAAAGCTGGCAACTTGACTTAATAATATTTAACACTATCCTTTTGTTTGTCAAAACACTGCTTCATGCAAATGAAAATTTAGCTGTTTGTCTAATATGATATTTTCTGATAAGAGCGTGGCATCCAATGTCTCTTGAGCACCTGCTAATTGCAAGCTATGCTCCCGTTTGCACTCCAAGCTTCATCTACACCCTGCTATGTGTGTTCCCTACACAGACCAGATGAGCTTTTAATGACATACACCAGGTCATGTGTTGCTGTTCTTGAAACACTCCAGTGACCTGCCACTTGCCTTTCAGATAAAATGCAAATGTCTTACTTTGTCCTTGCCTGACCTCAACTCTGGTCACTCTCTTGGTCCACCCATACCGCTCTTCAATCTCAGATCTCTCCAGGGCCTTTGCAGCAACTTCTTGCAGCCTGAAACCCTCCTTCCTTTCTCCGCTTTTAGCAGGGCTGGTCCTCCATGGGAATTCAGACCTCAGCTCAAATGTCAGCTTGTCAGAGGTGCCCTTGAGCATCCAGTCCAGCTTAGTTCTTCCCCGCATTATTTCTATTACTTGGCCCTGCTCATTCTTCACAGAACCCTGGTCTTTATCCAAATTATCTTGCTAATTTATTTATTTACTGTCCTTTTTTTTTTTGCCTGATTCCTTCTACCAGAAGGCAAGCTTCATTAAAACAAGGTAATTTCTGCCTAATCACTGCTATTTTCCCATTCTGAGATTAATATCTAGCGTTCAGTATTACAGTTTGTAATTTGTTGAATGAATAAAGGAAGGACATTTTGTGAGAGTGATAGAGTGTTCCATTCAGGACTGTGCTAGTATTTTACCCCAGCTGGGACTAAGGATGACTGTGTATGACAGGGTAGGGGGGGTTCGGTGGGGGAGGAAGACCATGGCTTTGAGAAATGGGTGAGTACCAAATTTTGGAAAATCCCTTGCAAAGCACTTCATTTGGAAGGCAAAGGGGGTGGTCATAGAAGGGTCTTTAGCACGTACAAGATGAAAGAACTCAGTGTATTTATTGAAATGTTTATCTCAGGAAAATAACAAAGTATGTTATGATATCCTTTGTTTATAGCATTAAGGATAGCAAAGGATGTAATCAGACCAGCCTTTATTTAAATGAATGTGGAAAGATGCCAAAAAAATGGATTCAAATTAATGAAATGTTACATTGCATCTATATGCCTCTGTGCTTATTCGCTTTGTTGTGTTTAAATCTTTGTGACTCCATGGACTGTAACCTGCCAGGCACCTCTCTGTCCATGGGGATTCTCCAGGCAAGATACTGGAGTAGGTTGCCATGCCCTCCTCCAGGGGATCTTTCCAACCCAGGGATCAAATCCAGGTCTCCTGCATTGCAGGCAGATTCTTTACCATCTGAACCACCAGGGAATCCCAAGAATACTGGAGTGTGTGGTCTATCCCTTTGCCAGGGGATCTTCCCGACCCAGGAATCGAACTGGGGTCTCTTGCATTGCAGGCAGATTCTTTTCCAGCTGAATTACCAGGGAAACCCACATGCCTCTACTCTCTTTTTTAAAATATATATTTTATATCATTTATTTTGGCCTTGCAGTATGGCATGTGGGATCTTAGTTCCCAGACTTGGGATTAAACCCATGCCACCTTCAGTGAAAACATAAAGTTTTAACCACAGGACCGCGATGGAAGTCCCTCAACTCTCTTCTTGAGTTGGGGGAACTTGGAGTAGCTTTTGACATATTTCTCAATAACAAAGCTAGGAGAAGAGGGGCTCCCTTTTTTGAGTCAATTTTTTTGTGTATGCTGCTTGACAAAAAGAGACTGTTCATCAAAGTTTACCTTTGGTTTGAAAGAAAAGGAGGATGTGGAATTAAAAAATGAAACTTGGTTCAACTTTGTGCTATCAGTTCAGGCCCTGTTGTCTGATCTGACCACGGAAATGAGATTTCTGCCCAAGATAAGTCTCTCTTAAATGTGTCAAATGCTCAAGTGAGAAACATTTAAAAGTCCAAAAAACAGATTGGAAGAGTTTCTTTTTATTGCCTACAAATCTGTCTCCTTTCTCCCATTACTCTTGGTACTTGGAACAGAAAATTGTTGACTTCCAGATATCTACCTTTTTATTAATCCATGGATAAATGTGAAAAAAACGAACCTTTAGAAGCCAGAAGCCAGGTCTGTCCCAAAGACACGAGAGAGAATGGGGGTTTGAGGTTGCATGAGGAAGTGTCAGACCTGGGGCCCCAGCAACTTGTCAGAGGCTTCCAGGGGCAATGGCTGTTTCTCAAGGTTACCTTGAAGTTGCCTTTTCATCTACTTTAAGATGATCAGGTCTGTAATGCTTAAGACTACTTTTCTCTTAGGACAAAAAAAAAAAAGGAAACCTTGTTATCTGCCCATTGAGATCTCTGTTACACAGATATTCACTAACAATTTAAACACGTTTTAGATGACCAGAGATGGAATGTTTGGGACACCTGGGTGCTCATCATCCATAATTTTACTGTGCGTGTCTCCAAAATGAATCTCCTTTTTATTCATTCACTCCACTACCCCCTGTGTGCCTGTGAGCATTGTCCTAAAGGAGACATGTCTCAGATCACAAACCTTTCCATGAAGATACACTTTGCCCACCTTTCCTTGTCCACAACGCTCAACAAAGGACAACCAAGCTTAAGGGTGAATTTTTTAAAGAATTGTATCCTTATGGCCAGAAGATTCCCACCTCTTCTATTGGCTGGTTTCAGTTGCTTAGAAGCTTTCAGTTACAAATGGCTTGGGAGAGAGTGCTCTGTGAGGCCAGGTAAGTGGTGAGAAACCCAGATATAGACAAGGACACAAGTACCCCTGGAGCCAGGCAGCACCCCATGTCCCTCCCATCCCAAGTGGCCACTGTATCACTGAGCCTTCAATCTTCCAACATTAGAAGGCCCTTGGGCACTTTCTATCATCAGATATGATGACAGTGACATCACTATGATGATAGTGATAGTTCTCTCTGTGATGATGGTGATACAGGATGACCACAGGAAGAAGGCTGAGCTCCCCAAGTCTATATGGAAAGACAGTGACCCAATACGGGAGGATCTTATATCACCCTGTGGGGCCCTTCTGTACTCGGACGGCTTGAAAAGATAACACTTACTGAAAAGTCGTCACTGGGGAAGAACAGGAGATCTCGAAGGGGGTCATTCTGATAGGTCTTTTCAAGTTCTTCAATGACAGTTTCATAATCCAAAGGCTCGAGAAGCCGAGGCTTTTCTTGCTGTAGACAAAGAAAATATCACATTAACCAGTGACAGGTAAAATCTTGCTTCTTCTCAACATCTGGTTGGAGTTCATTTCTTAGAACCACCAAAGCTTTGACACAGTGCAGTCCTTCCAGGGGACTCATGCAGGCTCCAGGCATCTGGAGCGAAGCCACCACAGTATTATTTCCAGATCTGAAATAAAATGAGATCTTGACATACCTGACATCTCACTCAGTAACTTAAGCTGTTGGCACCAAGCCCCTCATGCACATGGTTTTCAGCCCTGTCACATCCCTGGAGTAGACAGTTGTGTAAACTTGATCTTTGTCAATATGAAGAAAGGCCTTCTGCTTACTTGCTCTAGTATTACGATGATCATCATCATTTTTGGTGAATTAGTTACTTCCTTGAGAGGTCTACTTGGGTCTATTTCAAAACACTGTCTCCTTGCTAGCAAATCAAAGTATTACAGATTATCTTAGTTGTCACTGAAACATGGATCCTATGTCAGGATTAATTGCTTGGCTCTAAGCCTCTTTGCTGATATAGACAGAAGTTGGGTAATTCTCTAGTAAAATTGAACAACACAATTATTATGGATGCAGTGTGGCAAAAATGGAGAAGAGTCTGAAAAAAATAGCCAGATAATCTCATCACATTATAGTCCTGAAGCCAAGGGGAAAGCACTTCCCTCAGAGAAGCTGCCCAAGAGATAAACGCCAGTGGGAGGAAGGTGGTAGTTTCATTCTGTGGTTGATGTGTTTATCCCAAACAGAACTCACAAAGTAAGAAACTTGGGAGTTCAAAATAAAGAATAAAATATTATAGAAGACCAAGGACACAGTCTGAGTTCCCTTAGCCCTTGGATGAAGCATTCATGCAAACTAAATAAAAAGAGATGATTGGATTATTTGGGGGCTCCTGGAAGCTAGAGTGGTTTCCGTGAAATACCCATGCTAAAGTGATCTCATCAGTTCAGTTAAGTCGCTCAGTCATGTCCGACTCTTTGTGACCCCATGGACTACAGCATGCAAGGCCTTCCTGTCCATCACCAACTCCTGGGGCTTACTCAAACTCATGTCCATCGAGTTGGTGATGCCATCCAAGCATCTCATCCTCTGTTGCCCCCTTTTCCTCATAAATGAGAAAAATAAATTTGTTTCACTGGCCATGTCAGTGACATCAACAGACCATTTCCCATCACCCCATGCCTCCCCACTCTGCAAAGCTGCAGATTTAGCTTCAATTTCTAAAGCTTTCCTTGGAAGATCTGTGCTGGTAAAGCTTCAGAAACTGTTACCAATATTTTAATAACTGCTAATGAGCTCCTCAAAGTAGCAGTCAATGTTTTCTCCAAATACAAACAAAACAAGATGTAACACAGTGGACCAACAACAAGAATTTCTCTGTGCTTTCTGCATTAAAATCAAACCAAACCCCTTCTACAAATGCTTAAGTAAACTGAGGACTATGAAAAGTGAATACTCACTCTGGAAGGGCCCTTCAATTAAGGTTGCTGATTTAGCAAATGAAAATACAGAACTCCATGTGGAGTTGGGAGAAAAGAAGAAATTTACTTGCCCAACATAATCTATTTAGTGAAAGATATTTTCAAGTAGAAGATACAGAGACACTATGGCATGAGGGGTAATTTTTTTTTTTTTAAAGTCCTTCTAATATCTTTTCCCTGCCTTTTGATATGAGTATTCTACTATAGACTTATTTTAAGTTCCAATTGCTTATTTTCCCAGGCAAAAATTAATTCCAAGGAGGAGAGATTGATAGCTCAAGAGGCAAATGTAGGCTCCAGATGTGGCTTTTGGCTCACTTATTACATTTTTAGTTCGCTTTGAGTGTCTGAGTAGTGGTATATCATTACAGGTCAGCAATAGTCCTCAATAGCCTGTTGCCTCTTACCCTACACTATCGCATTTATCTTTTTCTTTTAAGTTAATTTAATTTTTTTAAACTTTTTATTTTATATTGGAGTATATTTGATTAACAATGTCATGTTAGTTTCAGGTGTTCAGCAAAGTGATTCAGTTAGGGTGTTACATAACATTGAGCAGAGTGCCCTGTGCTTTATAAATTATAACCTCAATAGTTATCTGTTTTAAACACAGCAGTGTGTATATGTCAATCGCAAACTCCCTAACTATCCTTACTCCCCTGCCCCTCCCCCTTAGTAATCATAAGTACTCTAAGACTTTGAGTCTATATCTGTTTTGTAAATAAGTTCATTTGTATCATAATGTCACATTTCTATTGTCAGCTGCCCCAATAAGCCTTCAAGTTTGAAACACCTGGCTTATTCTGGAACTTCTCCTTTCCCCCAATAATGTGTAGGAAATGTAGCAAGTAAAACAAAATGCATTATAGAAGAGTTAGTGTGTTTTATCTCTGCCATCACCTTGGTCAGTTACACCGTGTTTCCTCACTTTCTTCAGATCAAGTGTCTCATGTCCTTCTACCAACAGCTCAAGATGTGACTAACACTTTCTCTTTTCTCTCCCTTTTTCACACCAGCATGAATAGGAGTGTGCAAGTATGGTTTGGTGAACATGGCAATTTATTGGTTAAGGCAAATGACATAAGGATGTTCTAGAAGGTCTTCTACAATCTTGTTCTCATTCCTTTTAATTTTATCTCCCATTAGCCAAAAACTCGAGCATTAATAAACAACCCCATGTTAAGGATACCTTTCAAAGAAGATGATCTTTTTATCTATTATACTAGGGTCCAAACTCTATTCAAAATTAATCCCACCTAAATTAGTACTATAGGAAAATCAAAATTCAAAATCATGGGTTATTAATAAGACCATAGGAAAACTAAATCCTAAACTCTTCTTAATATACACAATAAATGGCATTGCCTGTAAGCATCTGTTGGAAGGTATATTTTTATTTATTCATTTCAGGCTCTGACATGCCAGACAATTAATGAATGACATTATTAAACCTTTCCTGTTTAAAACATTGCACTGAGGTTGTCCTGACTTGGGGCTGCAAAGCCTAGTAGCTCTGCTTCATATAATTTATCAAGTTTTGGACTCTGCGGGATAAGTAAAATCCTATCTTTCCAGTGAATGTGTTAAATGGTGTGTAATATTCAAGATGTTCAATGTTTCATTATTTGGAATATATGAGGTTTACACATAAAAATAACCCTGATACCTTCCATAGTACCTAGAGCCTGGGATTTGGTGATGTTTGTCAAGGATGCTTTTTGCATCTGTGATGGTAAGAATCCAGGTTACGCAACCAGTAGTTCTCTCTGGAGCAAGAGAGCTGTTGGTTCTGTGTTTTGGTCAAAGAGACAGATGCATACAAGGATGATGGGATCAGTTAATTTCTCACTACTGCTCCTTACAGAGACGTTGAGTGAAACTGGGAACTGAGCAGCATCGATTTACAGCTTTACAACGGTTGGGTTGTCCCTCCTGAATTTAATGTGCTTCTTGCTTTTGGAAATGCACCAACTGGGAGAAGGTGTGTGCCAAGATTACTCTGAATTGGATTGGATTTTTATAGCACTTTTTACTCTTACTCTTCTCCTCTCAAATGAGTAATGAATTTCATTAGCTGTTCTAAAAATCACTCGAGGCATGGGAAAAGGCACCCACCAGTGCCCATTATTATGTGACAGAGCTGGTGCTGTGCCGCTGTGGGAATAGGGCTATTCTCCTGATACGGCATGAAGACATTTGTCTGATCTACCCACCCCCCCAAACCCACATCTCTCTTCCAATTCGCCTTCACAGAAGAATGGACTCCTGTCACGAAAACAAATGCTTTCTTCCCTGCTCCTTATTCCACAACTTCTCATGGAACAACAGCCCAAGTTTAAGCCTTGCAGTTGGTAAACCTGCCTTCTTGGTAACAACCAAGGCTGCCAGGAGCTGTTTGCTGGTCCAAGTAAGCACTGTCCATGCTTTAGCTAAAAATTCTAATTTCAGCAACACAGTGTTCCATCACAAAGATCTGAATTATTTTCATAATTATAATTCAAAATCAAATGAGTATAGAAGTACTTAGACACTGAGGATCTAAGCATTTGAAGTATGTAATGCATAAAAAATCCAGTGACTTAATGTTCAACCTAGACCTTTCTCTGGAATCTAAGAAAGAACCTAGACCACCCAGCCTTGTTTTAGGGAGATATGAATATATGTTTTCCATGCTGAGATGCAACAGAGAGTGTAACATGCATTCCAGAACCAGAATTCCAGTGCTCCTAGTCCTGGCATTGAAACTTACGGGCTATGGAATTTGGGACGCGTTTTTTTAGTTAGATTAACTGTCAGTCCTGAAGGAAGTCAATTCATCAGAAGGACTGATGCTGAAGCTGAAGCTCCAATACTTTGGCCACCTGATGTGAAGAGCCAACTCATTAGAAAAGACCCGGATGCTGGAAAGATGGAAGGCAGGAGAAAAAGGGGGTGGCAAAGGATGAGATGGTTGTATGGCATCACTGACTCAATGGACATAAGTTTGAGCAAACTCTGGGAGACAGTGAAGGACAGAGAAGACTGGTGTGCAGTCCGTGGGGTCCCAAAGAGTTGGACACGACTGAGTGATTGAACAACATCATCAGACTGTACCTCTAGTTTCCCAACCTGTAAAACGGACATTTTAGTAGGAGCTGCATCGTAAGATTAAATGAGGTAATATTTGCTATGCTCTTAGAACAACACTATACCCATAATGCTTATTACATAAGTGTTAAGTAGATAAAGGCCATGAGTTTTAAATTTTCACTAGTCATAGATTTAAAGCACTTTTGTAAATTTAATGGATACAGAGAGCATATAGTAGGTGTTCAATAAATACATGTTGAATAAATAAGTTTTTATGATTTCATCTAGGACATTAATTTTAAAGAAATACTCACACATATAATCTAAGATGAAACAAGACTATCTTTGCAATATTCCCTTTGTAACAAGAAAATACATTTGTCTTAATCAAAGAGGGCTAAGAAAGGCAGGCAGGCTGGTGGAGGCTCTATCTAA